ATGGAAAAATCCATATTCAAGTCTGGTTTTCAGCTCAAATTTCTACATGGATCAAATTAATTGGGGGATGTTTTCATTTCCACTTTTCATGTGTGCACAGTGAACACATGCTAATTTGTGTCACATTATCTTTGCTGGATCTGTCAATCCACTAAACAAATATGAATTGAGACCCAGTACAAGCAGGACACCTCAGTGGAGAGAGAAATGGATCAAACACAGATTGATGATATGACAAAATAACTGGAATTGAGTCCACCCCCGAATCCCTGTTTGGGCCAGATTTTCTGATTTTATCTGGTGCTTTAGGATGAGGTTAATGACGGCCCTGAGCCCTCTTACTCCTGCCATTCCTTCCTTCCTCAGGACTCTGCCAAGCTGGGCAATATTATTGGCCACATGTGACCCACTGCAGGAAGGATCCAGGAAACCAAAGATGAATGAGGGAAGCAGCACTTCAATGTAGCCCATCTACTTTGTCCCAAATATCTCCCCCACCCCAAAACCCCAACAGCTTAACCAAAGACACTTAGATTTCTGCAGCTAAGTAGAGAGTGATGCATCCTCTATGGTACTTTAGGAACATAGCAGTCAATAAGAAAGGAGAGTCTGAATAAAAATGGTTCCACCATGGGTTTGGGAGGGTTCTGCAGCAACAGGGTTTATGAATACCCTAAAAAGGGGCACTGGAAAGGGGAACAGCGCTGCTTTCAAATCCAGATCCAATTGTTGGGAGATCTGGGGGCTGGTAGGCAGGGAGCATATTAAATACAAAAACAACCTATGTCCAAATCCCCCACCCTTCTGGGATAAAAAGATTTAGATGAACCTAAAAAAGGAAGGGAAACTAACATCTGCAGAGTCCTCACCATGATATTATCATGCATGCAAGGTGCTTGACATATGATATTTTATTTAAATCTTCCAACAACCCAATAAAGTTATTCCCATTTTGGAGAATGTAGTTAAGTCAGTGAAGATTCAGAGTGGCAAGGTAACTTGCTCAAAGTCACACAGCCAGTGGTGGTAGAACTAGGATTCAAACCCTGGCTTACTGAAATTAGGTTTTCTGTGTGTGATAATGATCCCTCTGCCTGGGGCCGCCTGATTTGTCCAGGTGAAGCCTGGCTTGGGGAGGGGAGCGGTGCGGAGCGGGGTGACAGGAAGTGTGGTTCTGACAGTCCCACTCCTGTGGCTCGCCGGTCACTGCCCTCAGCCTCAGAACCAACTCTCCCCGATGCCTCCAACGTGTCTGCTCTCGCATCATGGGCACAGCTCATAATGATGCAGCAGACAAGTTAGGCCTCTGGGGTTGCCTGGACGACGCATTTATATGAAGGGATTTGTGTCAATGTAAACAGGTAAGCTGGACAGTTAACGCCACTCCCACCCAAGCCATGTTCTTTACAAAATGATATTTCTGTTCAGTGATGACCTCATCAACCTGCCACTGAAGGCACGGGCTTGGCATTTCTGTTCTTTCTCGAGGCACAAACAAGACGGTGAACAAACCAGGATGAACATCTAACACTGTTTGGGACTTACAGGCCTCCTACTGGTCAACCAGCTTGTGAGAGAGATTTACAAGCTGTGCTTTCAGCTGCGTCCATAGTTACCAGTCGCCTGCTTTCTGGTTGTTGATAACACTGTGGAACACCTCATTTCTAGAAGACAGAAGACCGGGCAAGAGAAGGCGTTCGGGGTGTAGAATCGGCCACAACTGGTCTGAACTGACTTCTGCCACAGGGAATTTGTTCATGCTGTGTACCTTCTGCACTTTAGTTCTTTGACTATAAAGACAACTAATAAAGGCTCCCCCATAGCGCCATTTGGAGGATTAAATAAAGCACCAGACCTGAAGGCACTCACTGAATCTTGGTTATTGTTTTTCTCCTCTTTAGCTACTTGACATCTTTACCAAGTAATGGAGAGTGAAGTGAAATTTTTCATATTTACAAAATATGTAATCATATGTATACGTACATATACAAATATGTGTATATACATTTTCTATATATATAAAATGCTTGAGGAAAACTAAATGATTTTCTTATTAATGCACACCTGTGTAATTTTTTAAGACATATACTAACTTCAGTCACACTTGCATCTCTTTTAGTGCATATTCTGGAAATGCCTTATCTTTTTTCTTTCTTTTTCACATCCCAGCACTGTGCAAAGTTGGAAACTCAGTAAATGCCTTTGATGACGATAATAGTGTGCCATTTCAACGTATGGATACTTTGAGTCATAGAAAGGTTAAAGAGCTTGCTTCGAACTGCCGGATGCTTGCTTTTCAGCCTATGAGCCAGGGCTCTGAATGCATTCATCTTTCCCTGCGTCTTACTCTTTGGTCCTTCATAGATAATTGATAAACAAAGTCATTTCTTTTCTTTACAAAAGATGTGTCTTCCTGACTAAATTAAAGTTTTGGTAACCCAATTTATTCTCTTAACCCGACAGAACAAGCCATTGATTTCTTTTCCATTTTCAATCATTGAAAACGTTGTCACATTTCATTCTTGCTCTCGGAGTTATTAGATTTCAGGTCTTGTTTCCACATGCTTTATATGCACAAGTCAAGTGTAACCTGAAAGATATTAAAGTGGATTTGCAGGGAAATGGCCCATAGCTGGGAAATTTGTCTTATTGCCTCTTAACTCCTCTTTTGTTTAATGTGCTTATTGGTATTTTCCTAGGATCCTGCTGGTGCTGTGTGATGACACGTTTCTGCTGACAGCCCTGAACTTTCATCAGACAGAACCTCTGTGAATAAGGTGAGAGGGAGTTTTTAATGAACGCCTAAGACTGGGAGTGAAAACAAAGAGCAGGAAGGCTTTGAGATGGATCTGGCTGTCAAAACAAAACGAAATAAAAATCCCAAAGTGCTCTGCCCCAACAACAGCACCACCTCCTGCTGCTGGGCACCCACCCTCCCCCGGGCAGAAATCAGCACCTGGGCCACGACCTAGAGCCCATGGAGGCGATGCTTCATTTGGAAGGAATCAATAAAGCAACTTCCCACAGAAATTCTCTACCCGGGGCCCCTCATGCCTCACCCCTATCTCTGCCATTAGAGCTGTTTTCAAATCCCCAGTGATCTTAAATTCCCTAGAAAGGGTTTGAAAGCTTCTCCTGGTAATTATGGCCTAGTGAGAAACAATCAAACTGGGAAAAGAGACTCTGAAAAAAATCCCTGACGTCAGCCCTGCCCATTGTGTCTGTGTTTAGAGTTAGATGAGAAATTCGTGTTACACTTTAGGAAGCCCCTTTGGTGAAATAGCTTTGAACGTCACAGCCCAAGGCTAGAATTCTCTTTCTTGAGAAGGAGATATATTTCAGAATCAGGTTATGACTTCGAACACAGCCTGGTAAATCCAATATCGTACAGCAGAGAGGCGTTATCACCAGGGCTCAAGGACAGCTAAAGATTTCGTAATTGTCCTCGTATCACTCTCTGGACTGCTCGCTGCCCTGCTCTCTGATACATGTGTGTTCTTTTCTACATGTGAAAACTAGTCTAAAACTTTTATCATTTTAAACAAATATTTATGGAGCACTTACGATATGCCAGGCATTGTCCTAGGAGCTGGAAATCCAGAGGTTACTTTAAAAAGCAAAACCCTTGTCTTCATAGAGCATTCACTATTAAAAACTCAACTGCTCCGCTGAAGGTGCACACAGCAGTCTGTATATTTACACAAAAGGAATATACAGCTGGCTCTGATCTTACTTCTCTGCTCACCTCAGGTTTGTTGTCCTGTCTCACCCTGACTGTAAATTCCTCAAGTGCAGCAGCCGCAGCCTCTTTTGATGTCTCTCGGGGCCAAAGACAAAGCCATGTGCAACGTGACTACTCAAACCCCGGACAGGCATCCCAGGCGTTCAGATATTCTCTGATCATCCTGAACGACATTCTGGAGACACACAGAGGGAATGCCATGGGGCTTGTTATTTGTATTCTTGGAACTCGAGTCTGTGTGCTTGAATAGGTTGGCCAAGAAAACAAACCAAGTGGTCAGGCTGAGACAAGATTGCGAATCTTGGGTTTCCCATCCAACTTTCTGAGCTAAAGGAAAAAAAAAAAAAGTGGTTGGGGAGGGAGGGTATGTCTGTCAAGCATGCAAAAGCCGTGACTGAGAGTGGTCTTATAAGGTCTCAAGCAAATTGAAATGTTGTCATTGGGAAGAATAACATCTACACATGATTAGCACTTTACACCTTTCGTTTAGTCATTCATTCAAAAACAAATACCCCATGTGGCTGGACCATGAGAGTAGGCTACAGTGATCACCACTGTGCCTGCCTTCAGGGATCGGATCTGTTTGCTTGTTCTATCTTCTAAGATCCTTTGGGACAGTTTGCAAGCCACTGTCACCCCTAGGCAGTGTAGCCTAACATTTCAAACTTCAGACTTTGGTGTTAAACTGCAAAACACAAGGTAAGTCTTCAAGCTTCGTTGTATTCATAACAATGTTCAAACACTTATCCAGCTTGGGAGGCATAGCGGTCAGGGTTCAACATAAAGGGATTTATCACAGGAATTGGCTTACACCATTGTGGAGCCTGGCTAAGCAAGTGTGTCGTCCCGAGGGAGATGGTCAGGAAGGGACCCCACGGGCAAGAGCTGAAGCTGGTGTCCACCCACAGGCGGCCATCCGGAAGGACTGTCCGGGGGACTCACAGACTCAGCAGCTGTTGGGAACCTCTGAGCTCCAGGAAGAAGGACTAACCGCTCTTTTATGAAAGGCTTTGCTGCTAATAAAGTCAGGCCTGCCCGAGGTACTCTCCCTGTCTGATCAGAATGAAGTCCACTGATCAGGGACGTTAGTGATGTCTGCAGAATCCCTTCCCAGCAGCACCCACTCCGGTCTTGGACTGACTAGCTATGAGATGATCTGTGTGCTGCCAAAGGGCCCTGACTCGCTAGCCCTCCAACTCTCAAGAGACGTGTCCCCTGCCCTCACCAGACCATGGGAGAAAGTGACACCGGATCAATGCCAGTCAAGGTGACTCAGCAAAAAGGCATCCCATGGGGCTGTTGTGAAGCTTAAGGAGCTGATGCACGTGAAATGTCTGGAGGACACAGAAGGTGGAATTGCCCTTTAGCAGATGAAAAACTCAGGCTCAGAAAACAGAAACAAAGCGACCTTATAACGGTCAGAGCGTGGAGTTGACGTGGCAGTCTGAGTCTCCGCCTTCAGAACCTTCGTTCTCGTGCGGTCATGCTCCACCGCCAGTGCACCTTCTCCTGCTCAGTCAGGGCTGCACAAGCTGGAAGAGAAAAGTGAGCAACAGCTACAAGGTGGCCGGATTTGCGGCTCCTAGGCACGTAGGATGAGGCAGACGGAGCCCCAGCCCAAGGCCTAGCGTGGGCTTCTTAGATGGATGAAGCCTCAGACACCCTCACACCGCAGGCTACACGCTCCCTGTTGCTCCCTGAATAACCAGCCTCTTCTTTGTGAGCTTCTGGGAAGCTGACTCCGTCACAAACCTGCTCTCATTGTTCTCTCTTGATCTTCTTTATGAGCAGGTTTCGCTTTGGAAATGCTTTGTTACTTCCTTTCTGTTGACTATTTTTAGGCTACAAATTCAAAATTTATGAAAAGCCTTTCAATGATTCAAGACCAAATTTTGTTAGGAGGGATTGGAGTGATAGTTGTTGGGTGGTTAAAAATGAGCAACACTCTTTCCCCACCCACCATTCTCACTGTGAAGTAAATAATAATAGACATAGAAGCACACAGAGCTCAAACAAGCTGTCAACACACATTAATCCTCCGGCTCTAACTCTGGCAGGGAAATAGAAGCACCCATTTACCTTGTCAAGGTTCTGCCTCCTCCCTAGACAGTGTCCCAAAATCTGCTAGAACACCGCTGACATCGGCCGGGCAGCCGCGTGAACCGCGCTCATCCCATCTTCCCCCAGCTCACGTAAGCCTTGTGCGACTGAACTTTAAAAGAGCCACATGCTAAGATGTCATCAAAATGCTGCCCCAAAGTTACAAGCTCTCCAGTGGTGCATTGGTACACTCCTAGTCTTTAAAGCCGAGTTCAACCATCTTCAAGTCACCAAACAAATATTTATGAAGTGCCTCTTAGGAATTCTTTTTGAAAGCTGAGATTGTAGCTGAGAACAGGACAAGCAGGGTTTCTGCTCACGAGGCTTACATTCTAAAGACGCTCCAGAAAACATTCGCATAGTAAACAAAAATGAAACGATTCAAATAGTGTTTAAGTGCTGCTAAGAAAATGAACAGAGTGACCCAATCAAGAGTGATTAGGGCTCCAGGTTGTGGCTTAGAAACAGAGGCAGCTTGTTCTCCGAATAAGCACTGTTGTGTGTCCTTTGATAAAGAAGATCGTTACTTGATGCATTTTGTTCAGAAATTGCATCCAAATATAACGCCATACATCTTTAAAAATACTTGTGCGTTCACCAAAAAAAAAATACATAGTGTAAAAGAAATCTTAGCATTTAAAACACTTAGTGAGCACAGTATGTCTCATGCAAGAAAGAAATAGTGTTTAAAAGACAGGTGTCTATTGTACAATCCTTGATGAAAGACTAAATATCTAGAAATCAAGAACAAACCACAGTCTAGCCAAAAGTAGAATGCACAGGTGGAGAAGCTGTCTGTGGGTTGGATGGAATCCAGCTAGAATCAGTTAAAATTAACCAGATTGTGAAAAACGTGATTTTTTGCACAAGGACGAGGATGCTTTCTGATGGGCTGGTTAGAAAAGAGGGCACTTGTGTTGTTTCAGAGGATGGAACAGTGACAGATTGATAGCATATTAGGGAGCTCCATTTTGTTTCTTACTCAATTCTACATAATTCTGACCTATTTTTACAGTCCATGTCCTTAGAAATTCTTTCTGTGACTAAAGGATATTAAGTCAAACCATTTCATAAATGACAAGCTTGACTTTATTTTTTTCAACCCAGCATATTAGCCTGTTCATCAAAAATATACATAACAGGTGCTAGAGAAGGTTCTAGAGAAGACACGCAGCATCACGTTGCTGACAAAGTGAAGCTCAGCCAGAGCTCAAAAAGTTAACTCTCAGTTTTCTGGGCCACAATTACTTACATATTTCTCAACTCTTTTTTTTTTAAATATACCAAGCCCTTTGCATCATGTAAAAAAAAAATTAAGAAAAATGGTCCCCATAGGATTTCCTCTAGACCCATAAATTCCTTTTGCTGCTCTAAGATTCTGTTTGGGACTGTGGAGCGCATCAGCCCCAGAGCAAATGCTTTGCATGCCCTATCTCATCTAATCTTCTCCACAACCTTATGAAGGAATTATCATCATCATCATCATCATTCCTACTCTATAAATTAGAGAGTTCAAGTAATTCATCCAGGTTCACAAAGCTCATGCAAGCCAGAACAGTGATTTCAACTGCAGCCCTTCAACTCAAAAGTCCCAGGAAAACTGACTCTTCTGTCTAGATTCCATGAATACTTCGTCAACCTCTCTGAAGTACTTTCTACTTTATATTAGAGATCCTTATGCAGGATATGTACATTAGCTCTCTGTGAGTCAGATACATGCCTGATGTTTCCTTGCAGATACGGGTTTATTTAACAACAGCTGTATAGCTCCCATAATTTCACCATTATAATCATTGTGAACACTGTCTGAGATCGTATTCTATACCTGAAATCAAGCCAAGTTTTTTAATTCATTTTAAAATGTAATCCTCAAATTAATCCCGAGTAATGTAAATACCAGTAGTATTACCATTTTTAAAATGGGAAAACTGAGGCTTAAGGAGGTTTCTTTCCAAGATAACAAGACAAGCACGTGCATGAATGCATTAATATTAAGCACATCTTTTGGGCTGTGCCCCACAGGCCTACACGGCCTGTACTTGCCCAGCTTCAAGACCAAAGAAAGAGCCCAGAGATATGCATGGTTTAATGGGTAGGGGGATCTTCATGTCTGAAGCAAGGTCCTAGAGCAACACCCCACTGTATGCGGCCGTCGGCGGGCCGGACCCGGCTGCAGTCTTCACTTCCAAGGGAAAGGGAGGTTAGCAGTTATAATGGGAACTGAGGTCAGATTGGCTCATTGGTCACCAAGGAAACCAGCAGAGGGACCCCTCACCACCCCTTTGATAAGAATAATCAGTAGCTGGAGCCTGGGGCAAGTATGTCGGAAAGTCGGTCATGTGAGTAGGATGTGAGTGAAAGCAGGCCCTGTGGAGCAGGGCACGCACAGAGAGCAGGAGGACAGCCATCTTGAGTGGCCTGAGCGTGCACACGTCAAACATGGTTATTTAAGATACATTTATTGAGCATTAAAATATGCCCCGGGTGCACTTCTAGCTAGTAAGCAATAGAATACAACTTAACCAGTGGGAGGGAGACAGAAACGAAGACGTCACACTGGTGATACTTGGCAGGAAATAGTAGGGAAGGAGGCAACAAAGCAGTTTGTTTTGTGAAGATGTGATGTGTTATAATTTTATAGAGAGAGGTCAGGAAGGGGAACAGTGGGGTGATAACTTTGGAGAGAAGACCCGAAGGTTTTGGCTGTTCCAGACTGATGAGGGAAGAGCAGATGCAAAGTCCAGGAGGATGGGGTAAGCTTGGTTTATCTAAGGGGGGCAAAGAGGCCACTGTGGCTTTGCCAGGAGGGAGCAAGGGGGGCAGTTTAAGCAGTGAAACCAGAGATGAACATGGCTTTGTAGTCAAGACCAAACATTGGAAGTGAGTGTGGAAGATGAAGGCTGATTAGCGGGCTATTGGAATATTCCCACCTAGGGGTGCTGGTAGCACAGGCCAAGTACTGCGACTAAAGTGCTTTAAAAGAGTTGGCCTGTGGATATATTTCTAAGGTAGAGTGAATAGGAGTTGCTGAAATTAGCCATGGGGAAGGGAAAAAGGGAAGTCCTTAAGGGTAACACTGGGTTTCTGCCCTGAGCAATGGATGGAGCAGGATAGAGAGGAGGGTCAAAAGTTTAGTTTAGAACCAGAGTTTGAGACCCTGATTAGATAAATGGAGATGGTGAATGAGCAGATATTTATATGAGTCATAAATTCCCAGGCTGAACAGAAAAGTCAGGGAGACTCTGCCAATGGATTCCTTAAATCCATGAGACCGAATGAGCTCACTGAAGAATGAGTCTACATACAGGAGGAAGAGACCCAAGGACTCAACACTGAGCCACTCCCAAGGTTAGTGATAAAAAAGACGCGGAAGCTTCAGCAAAGGAGACAGAGAAAGAGGCAGTCATGGAGCAGGGAACCCAGGGGAGAGTATGTTCCTGGAAGCTGCGTGAAGAATGAGATCCAAGAAGGAGCAAGTGTTAACACTGTGTCAGGGGCTGCAGATGAGGCAAGTGAGATGCGGACTGAGCACTGACAGCGGCCTCTGCCCGGGCGCAGCCCCGGGAGACTGACAGTCCCGCTTCAGAGCAGCGAACGGGGTCATGACGCTTAATGGTCACTTGGGTGAAGTGTCCCTCCCTCCTACCCTGGCTCGCCAGGGCCTTGGATTTTCTCCTGATCATTAGCTCCACGAAAATAGCTGACTTGGGGGAAAGATCGATCTTTCTCATTGTAGTTTTTTGTTCTCTCTTCAAGGAATTCACCTGGTTTCAATTATTAGGACTTTTATTAGATAGTTGTTTCTGTGTTTGTGTGTATGTATACGTGTGTGCGTGCTTTAATTTCCAAACCAGAGCGGCTTTGATCCTAGGAAAGAGAATACTCAGCATTCCATCCAGATGAGTATTGCTGCTAAGCCCTGTATTTGCTTTTCTCCTCCCCTGCTAGCTTAAACTCTATGGAGGCCAATTAAACTGCCTACACCAGCATCAAACACAACACACACTATCTCGACATGTAGGTGATTATAAGCATCCAACTGTATTTTAGCATCAGTACCGAGCTGTGCAGGGGGTTTTCACTTTTACATGAACTGTCTTTTGAATAGAAACACATTGTAACTTGCAATGCACTCAGGTTCTCAGGAGTATTGCCTTTAACTACAGGAAGACACCTGCACTGAACTTCCTCCTCATAATTAGCGAGGTCAGATCACTCTTGACATGTGTGTTTTTCGGTTCTTGCCCATTTTCTGAGGCCTGATGATTAAGTCTGATGTATGACTCACTCACTAAAGTCATTATAAAAAAGGTAAATAAAACATTTTAGCCGTGTCTGAAAACTCAGAGGAGAGTAATTCCTGCTAGGGGAAGAAATGAGGCCAGTAAGTTCTTAAGAGTATGAAAATATAGAAGTTTGTATACCTCGCAGGAATACGTGCCTCAGACTACTCTGAACAAACATATTGGAAAATTATGTTCTCACTGAAAAATTGCCTCTATTTAAAATGCTGGAGAGGCTAGTACGTTAAATAAGGAGATCATATGAACAAGTACCATCTAAATCTGCATTACTTTTCTCCTTTGTGATTTAGGGAAAAAACACTTGCATTAACTTATAGATATGCACAAATTGGCACAAAGGAATCTTGAAAGCATCTGCCTTACTAACCAATAGACAGTAACCACCTGGAGAGACACTGCTCACTGTCACCACCGGGCGACGTAACTGGTGGTGGCCCTGGTGATGGTGTGCCGCTGGCCAGGAGGGAAGCCCAGCAGGCCTTTTTGTCTGCTTTCTGCAAGTGAAAATGAGATGACCTGGTAACTTAGTCAGAGGGGTTGTGCTGACGGTGCATTATTCGGCGCTCACGTGTGCTTGGAAGAGGGCTAGAGGCAACCACAGACACTCACTCCACACCCAGGCTACAGAGTGCGTACAAACAGCAGTTTCTTGAAGGCTATTCGTTCGTCCATTGATTCATTTGCTTCCTCAGTCATCCTCATTGAACATCACTATGTTCCAGGAGCTCTGTTTGTTTACCTCCAGCAGAGGGATTTCAGTGGAGACAATTTCAGAGCAGACCGAATGGCAGGTTGATGCCATGAGAGGCCAAA